CAATGCCAACCCCAATAATTCTTTATATTAAACTTCCCCTGCTCAATGACTATGTGATTTCTCTCCGCTGACTGGAGCCTGGTGTTATACAGACATTGTGAATTTAATCTGTTGGGTTCTGGATGTTTTTGTTTTCCTGTAGATATTTTTGAGCTTTGTTCTGAGATGAAGATAAGTTGCTTAGAAACAGTTTAATTCTTCCTAGCCTTGCTGCTCAGCTTCGTTAGGGGACCAGAGAGGTGTCTGGAGCTCATTTTGTCCACCCTCGGGAGTGTTCTGCCCAATCAATGCCCCCGAGTTACCAGGTCTCCCACTCTGGCTGGGAGGAATATAGGGTATTCGTGGTCCTTGTGCGGGCTCCCAGCATCGCTCTCCGGTCAGGTTATTCTGTCCCCAGCTCTGTTCTAACCAGTATACAGCTCATCAGTGGAGGGGAACTCTAAGATTTCTGGAACTTTCTCTTTGCAAATCTCTCTCTGTTCCCAGTCTCTGCCCTGCAGACCAGCTTCCTTGGCTTTGCTGGCCTCCCAGCTCCATCTCCTGGATTCAGGGCATCTGCCAGCCTCCGTCCGGCTTCCCCATCTTCAGACTACAGCCTGTGAGCCCCCAGGTGGTTGGTCCAGGCATTGCAGGGCTTGCCCCATTTATTTTCCTTTTCTCCAGGACCATTGTCCTGCTATCTGATGGCCGCAGATCTTGAAAACTATTGGTACTTATTTTTTGTCCAGTTTTTGGATGGCTTTAGGCTGCTCCCTGTGATTCCACCAGACATAGAAGTCAAATCTAGTTTTAAAATATTCATTTACTCAGGGGCCAGCATTCGGTGCAGCAGTTAAGATACCATTTGGGATGTCCGCATCTCGTATCAGAGGGCCCAGGTTTGAGTCCCTGCTCTGCTTCCAATTCCAGCTTCCTGCTCATGCAGACCCTGGGAGGCAGCAGGCGGTGGCTCAAGTACTTGGGTCCCTGCTACCCATGTGGGAGACCTGAATTGAGTTCCTAGATCTGGCCCAGTCTCAGATGTTACAGGCATTTGGAAAGTGAATCATGGCCAGCGCCGCGGCTCACTAGGCTAATCCTCCACCTAGCGGCGCCGGCACACCAGGTTCTAGTCCCGGTCGGGGTGCTGGATTCTGTCCCGGTTGCCCCTCTTCCAGGCCAGCTCTCTGCTGTGGCCCAGGTGTGCAGTGGAGGATGGCCCAAGTGCTTGGGCCCTGCACCCCATGGGAGACCAGGAGAAGCACCTGGCTCCTGCCTTCGGATCAGTGCGGTGCGCCGGCCGCAGCGCGCCAGCCATGGCAGCCATTGGAGGGTGAACCAACGTCAAAAGGAAGACCTTTCTCTCTGTCTCTCTCTCTCACTATCCACTCTGCCTGTCAAAAAAAAAAAAAAAGTGAATCAGTACAGGAAAGAGCTGTGTCTCAAATAAAATGAAAATAAACAGAATAAAATGAAAACAAATAGAACATTTTCAACATAGTTATTCATTTATTCAACTTACACACAGAAAGTTATTGTGTGCTAGCTACGGAGATGCAGCAGTGAACCAATGGCCCCTGGGGCTCATTTCCCCACTACAGTCAATTAAAATCCCTAACAGTGTTTGAGCCCACGACACCTCTCCTGGCCGTGGACCGCGAGACCGGGAATGCGCACCAGCCCTCCCTGCCTCCAGAGATACTGCTCTGCCCTCTTGCCTTTGCTCCTGCCCCGTCCAGCACACCCACAAGTCCGGAGGCACCCCCTTTTTCTTTTCCAAGCAACTCCATAGCATTCTTCCCACCGCCCTGTCTGTGCAGGGCCCGGAGGGCAGCCGTGAGGAAGTCTCCCAGCCTGCACAGTGGGGTTGGTGTTTTTAGCAACATCTTCCTGGCCTCGAGGGAGGAGTTTCCTCCCTCCCCAGCTCTATAACGTCACGCTTGGCTATTTAATAAAGACGCTGAGATCAATCCTCGCTCCGTGCAAGGTCACCGATAGGAAGCCCTCATCGGCACCTTGCATCTGTCAGCTCAAAGCCAAGGTCTTACCCGTGGGCCCGTTGCATCCTTGTCTCCCCATCCCAGGTCACCACTTCTTGGTCTGTGTTAAGCTGGGGAGGCAGCCAACCCCCCATGCATCTCTGCTTTACTACCCAGCATCCCAGACTGGGCATGCCCACAAATATATGTAAGATTTTAAATACCTGTTGGATTGAGATAGCATTCACACACCAAAACATTGCCCCCTTTCTAGACTTGTCAGTTTAGAAGTTTTCAGTCTATCCTTCACCCCCAGAAAAAAAACCCTGCCCATTCGTAGTCACCCCCATTTCCCCTCACTCCCACTGCCCAGGAAATCACAGATTAACTTTCTGTCTTCACGGCTTTGCGTCTTCCGGATGTTTCATACAAGTGGAATCAGGTCCTATGTGGTCTTTAACGGCTGGCTTCTTAGCATTGTGGGATTGTGTGTGTGTGTGTGTGTGTGTGTTATTTGAGAGACAGAGAGCTCCTCTCTGCTGGTTCACTCCATAAATGCCTACAACACCCTGCACTGGGCCAGGCTGAAGCCAGGAGCCAGGAACCTGATCCAGGTCTCCCAGGTGAGTGACAGGGACCCACCCACTCGACTTATGACCTGCAGCCTCCCAGCGTGTGCATTGGCAGGAAGCTGGAATGGGGCAGTGGAGCTGCGGCTGCAACCAGGCCCTGCACTCTGGGACACAGGCGTCCCCAGGGGTCTTTAACCCCCAGCATCATGTTTTCTCCATGCTGTAGCCTGTCAGTGCTTCATTCCTTTTCCTCCAACTGTGTCCACGCGCCACACTTAACGGAGCTCTTTATCAGCTGGCGAACGTCGGGGCCCTTTCCCCTTCTTGCTATTAGGAACGATGCTGCCAGGGACGCCTACGGACAGGTGTTTGTGTGCTGCACGTGAACACTGAGCCTCAGTTTCTACCAGCACTTTGGCCGAGTGCTTGGGACAGAGCAAGCGCAGCTGGCCCCGAAACCAGCCCGTTTTCTGCTGGTCACACTGGCGGAGTCCTCGGGAGAAGGAAGTCAGGGGCGCTGGCTTCCTCTTCCAACGCCCAGCCCGATGGGCCCGGTTTGCTGTGTGCCAGGCCCTGGGGCCTCCTCCCTTCCTCCCAGTGTCCCCTTCCTCCCCTTCCTGAGTACTGGCTTAGCAGCTGCTGACTTTGTGCCAAACTGTACGGGAGCACCCGTCGGGGTCTTAGCCTAACTCAGTGAGCAGTAAATTCAGGATCCTAGTGCCCTTTTAGCTACTGTCCCAGCCCAGTTCTGGGGGACCAGGAAAGCCTCCTCAGAGGGAGTGAGCTTTGTCCTCCCACCTTATACAGTATGAATTTCCAAACACTGGGGCCGGCATTGTAGCACGGCAGGGTAAGCCACTACCTGCAGCACTGGCAACCCATGGGGGCACTGGTTGAAGTCCCAGCTGCTCCACTTCCAATCCAGCTCCCTGCTAATGCACCTGGAAAAGCAACAGGTGCTTGGGCCCCGGCACCACGTGGGAGACCCAGATGGAATACCTGGCTCGGGGCTTCAGTCTGGCTGTTGTGGCCATTTGGAAACTGAACCAGCAGATGGAAGATTTCTCCCCCCCCCCCGCCTTTTCTCTCTCTCTCTCTCTCTCTCTCTCTCTTCCCCCTCCCCCTTTCCCTCTCCCTCTCCCTCCCTCCATCTTTCTGTCTCTCCTTCTCTCTCTGTAACTCTGCCTTTCAAATAAATAAATAAATTTTTTAGAAATAAATTTGCAAACACATAGAAAACCTTACACACTCACTTCCTGTTTTTCTCAACCATGACTGTCTGGCCAGGTTTGTTCCAGTTTTCTTCTGAAGGGTTCCGAGGCACACATCAGACATCATGGCGGGTCCCCCCCAAATGCTTCAGCGTGTTAGGAGCAGGGAGACTTTCCTATGCACAGTGTCCTTATCATGCCTCGTTTCTTTGGTGTCTCCTTTCTCTAATGTCCTGACAACCTATTAATATTCCAGTGACCCCGGTGATTTCTAAGACCTGGTTTGCGGTGGCTTTGTGGGAAGGAGACTCTGACCAGGCTGCGGGTTGGGGGTGCCCTTGCGTCTGCCATGGGGAGGCCGGCTGGGAGGCGGCTGGGAGGGGCCTCGGAATGAGCCAGTTGGAGGCTGCAGGAATCGTGCAGCCTGCAGAAGCCGGCACCTGCCCCAGGCGCCCTGGGGGTCTGTCCTGGCTGTGCGGGTTCCCGCGGGTGAAGGGGGAGTCTTTCTGGGCACACATCTGAGGTGCCTAGGGTGTGGGTGTGTGAGGAGCGACCCGCCGGCTCTCGCTGGGCCCCCTGACCGGCCCATCGCTCAGCAGAGGGAGCCAGCAGTCCACAGCCACCGCTCTGGGACGTTCCCGATGACCGATGACCCGATGACCGGTTCCCTCTTGCTCACCCTGTACTCACTGTGGGGATGGGCTCTCAGGACAGTGCACTTCCTGCTGCCTCCAAGACAGTGCCAGGTGTCCTTCCGCAGGCCTGCTGGGGAGGGGGGGCAGCCTGGAAGAGACGCTCACGTCCCAGGCCCAGCGCACCGTGGCACCCATCACAGGGTGCACAGGGTGGCTCTGAGCCTCCCGTGGGAGGGGGGAGCAGCTGCAGTTTCTATTCTGGGACCCCGGGTAGGCAGTAGACCAACTTCTCCAAGGTCGCCCATCGCCTTTCATCTATGTTTCTGGGATACTGCTTTGCTCTCTGGGATGGAGCTTCGAGCGGAAGCCATTCTTTAGCCTGAGCCCCCTTAGCCCCTCTTGGTTGTGCCAGGGCACAAAGACAGAGGTGTCAGAGGCAGAGCATAGCAGCTCAGCACTGGGAGCCCAGGCGCCACGCAGCGGGGCGCACCTGCAGAGGGTCCGGCTTGTTCAGTAGCCACCCCTCAGGCATCTTCTTGGGCAAGGCTTTGGTTCAGGCCCGACCTTTCTGGAAACCTCTTTATCAGCTCCCTTCGTTCAGGCCACCAGAGCTGGACAAATTGACCCAGTCGGGAGACCACTTTTATTGACCCGTTCAGCATGAATTCATGAGCGCCCCTGTTTGCTCGGTTCTAGGGGCTGCGAATACAGCGGCAAAGAGGATTGCTCCCCCTCTGCCACAGGCCTGCAGTCTGGTGCACTCGGTAGGTTTCAACTGGGAAACAGAACAGCCGGATCGCAGAGTCAGGGTCCCTATCGCGGTAGGGGCGCAGCAGTGGTGAGGCTGATGGGGCCTCTACGGCCAATTTTTTGTCCCTGGAAGCACCTGAGAACCACAGACATGCCCACAGCTGCTCCGGGTCTCACAGCTGCTGGACACTGCCCGGTCACTAGCATGGCCTGGCCTGTCCCTAGGTCCCCCTAGGCTCCTGATGCTCATCCTGCCCTAGGGAACCCCACTTCTGTGGATGACGGGGCCACGCCATGACTTTTCTACCTGGGTTCAGGCTGCGAGGACCCTTAGGAGATGGCCAGAACCCTGTATTTGAATCATACTCCATAGGATCCTTCTCTTGAGGGCTTGTCTTGGTCCATTCCTGCTGCGAACACAAGATTCCTTAGACTGGGTGGTTTATGAACAGAAATAGAATTTACCAGAAATTTCTAGAAATTCATTTCTCACAATTCTGCAGGCTGGAAAGTCCAAGGTCAAGGTGCTCACAGATTTAGAGTCCAGTGAAGGCTTGCTATCTGCTTCCAGGATGGTTCCTTGTCGCTGCACCCGGGGTGGGGGGGACCAGTGCTGTGTTGTCTGTGGCAGGAGGACAAGAAAGGACACACTGACCTCCCCCTCTTTGTAAACGCACTGTTGACAAGGGTGGACTCTGCCTGACCTAATCCCCTCCTAACGCCCCTCTCTTTTTAAATTTACTTATTTTAAAAAAAACATTTCTTTGAAAGGCAGAGTGTCGGGGCCCGTGCTATGGCGTAGTAGGTTAAGCCTCCATCTGCTGCTCCAGCACCCCATATAGGCACTGCTTCCAGTCCTGGCTGCTCCACTTCCAATCCTGATGGCCTGGGGAAGCAGTGGAAGATGTCCCAAGTGCTTGGCCCAAGACCTATGGGGTATGATTCAAATACCAGCACCGGGGACCTAGAGGGGGCTCCTGGCTTTGGATCAGCCCAGTTCCAGCCATTGCAGCCATTTGGAGAGTGGACCAATAGATGGAAGACCTCTCTCTCTCTGCCTCTGCCTCTGCCTCTCTCTATCTGTAACTTTGCCTCTCAAATAAGTAAATACATCTTTTTTTAAAAAATCAGGGCGAGAAGGAGAGACAGAGATTTTTCGAGATTTTTCATCTGACGATTCACTCCCCACATGCCTGCAACAGCCATTCTGGACCAGGCCAAAGCCAGGAGCCAGGAACTCCATCCTGGTCTCCCACTTGGGTGTCAGGGACCCAAGCACTTGGGCCATCTTCGGCTGCCTTCCAGGTGCATTAGCAGGGAGCTGGATCCAAAACAGAGTAGCTGGGACTCGTACTGGCATGCTGATATGAGATGACAGCACCACGGGCAGCGGCTTAACCCTCTGCACCACAATGCCAGGACCTACATATTTTCACTTTCTTTGAAAGACAGAGAGACATCCTCCATCTACTGGTTCACTCCCCAAATGCCCACAATAGCTAGGGCAGGGCCAGGACAAAGTCAGGAGCCCAGAACTCCAAGTCTCCCGGATGGAGAAGCACCCACATACTTGAGGCATTACTTACTGCTGCCTCCCGGATGTGCACCAGCAGGAAGCTGGATCGGAAACAACAGAGCAGCCAGGACTTGAACCAGGCTCCGATATGGGGCGCAGATGTCTCCAGCAGAGACTTCAGCTACCACACCCAATGTCTGCCCAAACACCCATCTGTTAATACTGTTGTGTTTGGGAACAAGTTTCAACATGCATTTTGAAGCAACACGAGCATTCAAACCATAATAGGATTGTGCCTGCAGTGCTGGCATCCCATATGGGCGCTGGTTCGTATCCTGGCTGCTCTGCTTCCCATCCAGCTCTGTGCTATGGCCTGGGAAAGCAGCAGAAGATGGCCCAAGTCCTTGGGCCCTGCACTGGCGTGGGAGACCCGGAAGTAGCTCCTGGCTCCTGGCTTCCCGGGTCAGCCCAGCTCTGGCTGTGCGGCTAGTTGGGGAGTGAACCAGGGGATGGAAGTCTCTCTCTCTCTCTCTCTCTGCTTCTCCTTCTCTCTCTGTGTAACTCTTACTTTGAAATAAATAAATAAATCTAAAAATATTATTATTTAAGGGCCCCCCTCTGTACGTGAGAGTAACAATAACAATTAAAAAGCACAGTTTTAAGGGCTTTGGCTTGGCATCTGTTAACTGCCTGGGATGAAATGCAACTTGAGTGGCACTGAGTAATCTTCCCAAGGGCCCTGGGAGGTGGGCTTCCCAGAAGACGGGGAGGCTCAGCGGAATGTGAGGGCAGAGGAAATGTCCCGGCTGCCCCCAGAGCCCTGCTCCCTGGCCCTGCGTCCCCGCCTGGCTGTGCCCGAACAGAGGCCACGGCGGTCAGGAGGAAGCTGTCCAGACTCCTCAGGAAGAACACAGAGACTGGCGATTCTGCTAAGGACATCGTCCGCGGGATCCGAGGCCCCGCCCGGAGGGCCGTGTCAGGTCCCTGGGGGGCTTCGGCCAGGCCCCCTAAAGGAATCAGAGCTGCACATCGCCCTTCCGGGACGGGAGAATCCGCCTTCGCTGAGGGAGTGACACTGGAGGGTGTGGGCTCCTTACCGAGGGGGAGGAGCCAGGGGCGTGTTCTTCTCAGGCTCCGCCCTCTTCCATGATTTTTTTTTTCCCCCCAGCCGGAAGGGGCCAGGTTTTCTTGGCACCTGATGGGCAACGCTGGAGCAGGTGGCCTCTCTCAGAGGCTGGGGCACAGCAGAGACAAGCCTCGAGGAAGGCGCAGGCTGAACGTCCAGTAGCTCTGAGAATAAACACTAGTGTTCTTCAATGCAGTAGGGTAACTGTAGCCGACAGTAATTTATTACATATTTTGTTTATTTTCATATAACTCAATATGTATTTTGTTTATTTTCATTTTATTCAAAAGGCAGAGACACAGAGCTTCCTGGTATTTTCTTTTATAAAGAAATAGAAGAGTGCAGTTCCAAAGTTTCCAGCACCACGAAATAGTGAGTGTTCAAGCGGATGGAAATTCTCATTACCCTGATTTGACTGTTGTACACAAGTATTGCATTACCACTCTGCGTCTCATAAATACACAAAATTTCAAAAACAGCTCTGGGAAGACTGGGCTGGATTCCTGGAGGGTGTGTCACGGGCTAGTCAGGCCTATGGAATCCTTGAGCCGCGTTTCTTAGCCGAGGACAATGACAGGAGCCCTCAGGACACCCACTGAGGCCACGGAGTGGGATGGACCTTGGGTCGGAAGCCCCGTGGTGGACCAAGCGTGACCTTTACTCCTAGGCTACTTCCCGGGCATTATCTGGTTAATTCGTCCTTTTTCTGGTCTAAGAGTGCTTGCTTAGTTTGACCACAGGGAGGCGCTAGTGGTCTTGGAAGCAAATAGTTGGGCAGGGCGTGGTAGGCATTGTGGACATAAAAAGAAAACCTTATTAATTGATGAACACTAGGATGTTTTTTTTACTTTCAAATTTTTTCTTTTTTAAAGATTTGCTTTTATTATTTATTTGAAAGGCAGAGTTACAGAGAAAGAGAAAGATCTTCCATCTGCATCCTTTTATCCCTAAATGGCTGCAACAGCCAAAGCTGGGCCATGATAAAGAGCCCCATCCAGGTCTCCCACGGGCATGCAGGGGCCCAAGCATTTGGGCCATCTTCCACTGCTTTCCCAGGCGCATTAGCAGGGAGCTGGATTGGAAGCAAAGCAGCCGGGACTCGAATCAGTGCTCCAGTATGGGATGCCATGTTGCCAGCAGTGACTTAACACACTGCATCATGATGTTGGCCCCGACTTTCTAAATTTTCTGCAATCAACTTGCACTGGTTTTCCAAACGCAAAATGGAGGCAGGGTTTGGGGGTGGAAGAGATTCACCACGCAATGATAAATGGTTATGTTGCTACATTAACCTTGGACACTTTTTCTTTAATGGCTGTGCCTATATGAAATATACAGTTGCATTATCACCCAAAGAAGTAGAAATGGTTATTACCCACAGGCAATTTATCTGCAGGTAAAACGAAGCTTCGAGAAATCAGATGGCTCAATTGTAGATGGAGCAAATCTGTCACCTCCCGCTTTTCTGTAACTGGGACTATTTCCCTGGAAGCTGCCGTAACGTAACCAGGCAACCACTGTGTCCATTTCATTTGCTGCTGAATTCATTGTGATCCACAACATTAGAGAAAACGTCTATGTAGAAAGCTTTTTCTGGATTCAGAAAAATATTTCTAGAAGTGGACTTGATGGTGCAAACATTTTAAAAACAGCTGATAAATACTTAATGCCAAATAGGAAAAAAATCAGGGAAATTTAAACTCTGGCTAGATATTTTATATTGAGGAGTTATTGTTGATTTTTTTGAGCATTCTAATGGTATTGTGGTTCTGTTTTGTTTTTAAAGATGGAGCTACTTTTTAATGCTTTCCAGAGGATAAAGGAAAAGAATGTCAGCTTTTTTTTCCCCCAAAGAGGTAGAGAGAAAAAGATAGAGGCAGACAGGGGGTGGGGGGAGCTCCCATCTGCTATTTCACTCACCCAAGTACTCACATTGGTCTGGGCTGGGCCAGGGCCGGGAATGCAATCCAGGTCTTCCACATGGGTGGCCGGGACCCAACTGCTAGAACCATCACCACTGTTTCCCAGGGTCGGCACTGGCAGGAGGCTGGAGTCAGGAACTGAGAACTGAACCCAGGCACTCCGATGTGGGATGTGGTGTCTTAACCGCTAGGCTAAACACCTGCTCCCCGCTTATGTGCTTTTAAAGGGGCCTTTATCTGAAGATACAGAGTGAGGTGTCTACCAATGAAATAACAGACCTGCAACTTGTTTAAAAGCAGTCCAGTTGAGGCCGAGTGGGGTATCAATGATAAAAGTTCAGGCACATGTTGCTCATGATAAAAGTGGGTTATGGGGGGGTGGGGCAGGGCTGTGGCATAGGCGGTAAAGCCACCGCCTGCAGTGTCAGCATCCCATATGGGCACTGGTTTGATACCCAGCTGTTCCACTTCCAAACCAGCTCCCTGCTAATGGCCTGGGAAAAGCAACAGAAGATGGCCCACGTCTTTGGGCCCTGCTACTCTTGTGGGAGACCTGGAAAAAGCTCATGGCTTTGGCTTGGCCCAGTGCTGGCCATTGTGACCACCTGACTTCCAAACAAATAAATAAATACTTAAAAAAATAAAACTGGGTTATGGGTACACGGGTATGAATTCTGTTATCTCCCTACCTTCATATATGTTTTGATAAAGATTTAAAACAGGAGAAGGTAGCCCCATGATTCCTCTTCTGCATAACTAGTGAAAAAGAAAGAAAAAGAAGGTAACCTTTTGGAACTGGTTTGTTCAATCCCTTCTTGGGTGTTCTGATGTGAGATGCGGGCATCCCAAGGGGTATCTGCACTGTCCCACCAAACTTCCATTCCTGTTTATTTTAAATAGATTTGCGTAGCTGGAAAGGATCTCAGAGATGTGGTCCTCATCCTTGGAAACATCTGAGAAGTCTTTTTTTGGATTATAATCAATATTCTTTTTAAAAAAATTATTTATTTATTTGAAAGTCAGAGTTGGGGGGTAGCAGGAAGAGAGAGTGAGAGATCTTCCATCCACTGATTTATTCCCTAGATGGCTACAAGCCCAGGGCTGGGCCAGGCCGAAGCCAGGAGCTTCATCTGGGTCTCCCATGTGAGTGCAGGGGTCCAAGCATTTGGGCCATCTTCCACTGCTTTTCCCAGGCCATTAGCAGGGAGCTGGATCAGAAGTGGAGCAGCCAGAATACAAACCAGTGCCCACCATATGGGATGCCAGCATCCTAGGCGGCAGCTTTACCCACTATGCCACAACGCTGGGCCCTATAATCAATACTCTTATACCAATTTCACACACACTTCCCAGCTGTGGTTTGATGAAAGCTTTCTTAAATTTCTGGAAATTTCCCTGCAAAGTGGGGAAACTCGCCTGTCATTTTTAATTTAAAAACCAAAATGTTTTGTCAAGGGAGCACTGAGTATTTAAAGTTGCTCCTAAGAGAAATCCTAGCATCAAGAAGAAAGAGAAGGGGAGGTGTTTTGCACAATGACAAAGACCCTGCTTGGAATGCCCACATCCTATATCAGAGGGCCTGGGTTTGAGTCCCAGCTCCACTGCCAGTTCTAGTTTCCTGCTAATGCCCACCTTGGGAGGCAGCAGGTGATGGTTTAAGTACTTGGGTTCCTGCTACCCATATGGGAGCCAAGAGTGGGGTTTCTGGCTGCTGGCTCTGCCCCCGCCTATTGTGGGTATTTGGAGAGTGAATGGCTGATGGAAGATATACCCCCCTTTCAAGTAAATCATAAAACTTTAAAAACAGAAAGTTATACCAAGCCCTTGATTTCACTCACACTCACATCCCTATCATTTCCCCCTCTTCCTCCTCTGGGCTGGCACCTGCTCCCCTCCCCCTCCCCCATGCCTTCCCCACCTGGGCACCTCTGCAACATCAACAGCTGTGTCTGGGCCAGTCACATGGTGCTCTGCGCACCTGCTCCCCGGTGGCCCAGACCCACAGGAGGAGGCCGTGGAAGGACTGCAGACAACACGGTGCCTTTATGATCCGTATTAGTTCTTCAAAAGAGAAAGCAAATTTAACCTGTTGCCTTCCCTCTTTCTTTCCAGACTTGGTCCCAGAGACAAGACTTTCCACCTATCCTTCTAGAACCTTTAGAAAATAAAATCAGGCTGAGAGAGTCCACTCCCAAACCAGCAGTGCCACTGCACAGTTTTATTGGGCTTGGGTGATATTAGAGATGAGATCCTTGGAGTCATCACCATCCCCATCTCCTAGAAGGAGTCTTGGACTTGTCCCCAAGCCCTGGAAACTTCATCCCGATGATTTGGACTGGGGGTTGTGCCTTTTTCTCACAGTGCTGCTCTATTCCCGGGGAGACCTTGTCAGTTTATAGCTTCGGAGGCCTAGAAAGAAATGCTGTTGGGGCTGGTGTTGTGGTGCAGCAGGCATCCCATATGGGCACGGTTCAAGTCCCGGCTGCTCCACTTCCCATCCAGCTCCCTGCTATTGTACCCAGGAAAGCAGCAGAAGATGGCCCAAGTGCTTGGGCCCCTGCACCCACATGGGAGACCCGGAAGAAGCAATGGTGTCTGTCACCCCTCTGTGGAGTGAGAACAGTGACTCTGGCTCACCCAGTGGCTCCTGGGCTAGAACCACCTCAGCCCCATGTGCAGTAACTTCTTTGTCTCTTTCCTTCTGGAAGAAAAGGTTGAGGTCAGATTGGACTTTCCCAAATTTTGTGTAGATTGAACACTGTGTTTCAGGGACTTGAGGCCTGGGAAGAGCTGGGTGCCCATGAGTCCTGAGGCCCAGAGTGGGCCATGGCCATCTCCTTGTGGACATCATTCCTTTAGCATCAGGTGTTTATTGAGGACCTGTGATGAGGTTGCCTGGGGCAGGAGGAAGGGATGAGATCTGATCCCAGCATTCCTGCAGTTCCCGGTCCAGGAGCTGAGATGCTAATAAACACTTGCATCCCTCGTGATAAGTGTCACAAAGGAGAGACACAGGGGACTGCAAGAAAAGAGCAGAGAGGACCGAGGCCACCCTCGATTTACAACCCAGGGCCAAAGGAGCTGGTTGCCAGGGCGACAGACTCGATGTCCTGTCTGAAGGAAGGAGGACCTGGCCCCCGAGTCTGGTGCAGGTGAAGAAACCTGAGAAGGAGATGGATGTTGACAAAAACAGTGGGATTAGATATGGAGTGACCTCCAGAAAGGGAAAAAAAAGGCAAGGGGGTCTCAGGTTGTTTCCTGCGACTGCTCCGTCAGCACAAAGGTTAAGCAGAACCACAGCAGGTGCATGAATTCTGTAGTCAGGGTTCTGAAAGGGTCCCTGAGATACAGTTTGTGGGAACCTTGAGTGATGCCCGCTGGGCCCGCTGGGTTGTCACATCCTTCAGAGCTGCAGTGGCCAGGCCACCTCCATGGAGACCCGTGTAGATGAGGGTCAAGTCTTCCTAGCAGGCATTTTAATCTCGGACACTCAACTTTTCTCTGTTGCCCACACACCAACGGAACAGCAGTTGTGGAAACTGGGGGAGGGAGGAGAGACTCCGGCGATCGTCTCACTCCCTCTGTCAACGTTTGAGGCTTTCCTTCTCCATCCCTGTGTGCAAGAGGAAGAGGAGAGATTCATGGGGACATTTTTTTGGTGATCATCCATGGGCCACCCTGAGACTCATGCTTGCATTTCCTGGCACTGATGGACAGGCTGAGGTCCCACCTCAAGGCCCATTTACTGGAGACAAAACAGACCACCTGAAAAGTACGACTCTGTCCCGCTCTGGGGTATCTGAGAGACCACACTAAGGAAGTGAGTTGAGAGGTAGCCAGTGGATATGTCAAAAGACAGAATTTCAGCAAATTTAGAGAGATAATTGGCTTTTATAAAAGCCGTTTTTCTTTTCTTTTTTAAAAATTTATTTATTTGAGAGGCAGAGTTACAGAGAAAGAGAGGGAGAGACAGAGAGAGAGGGAGAGACAGAGAGGGAGAGGCAGAGAGAGAGGTCTTCCATCTGCTGGTTCACTCTCCAAATGGTTGCAGTGCTTAGAGCTGGGCCAGGTCAAAGCCAGGAGTTTTGTCTGGATCTCACAGCCAAGTGCAGGGGCCCAAGCAGTTGGACCATATTCCACTACTTTCCCAGGCCATTAGCAGGGGGCTGGATCAGAAGTAGAGCAGTGGGGACTCAAATTGGGGGCATCCATATGGGATGCTGGTACCACAGGTGGAGGCTTAACTTACTATGCCACAACACTGGCCTCTCAAATTGGCTTTCATTTGCAAATCATGAGTAGACTTCTACAAAGTAGAATGGAAGCTCCCAGTGGTCAGTGGCAGAGCAGTGGGAACAAAACACAAGGGGAAAAATACTCTGGGTAACTTCAGGTTACTCTTCTATAAGGGTTAAAGCAGAGGGAACTCTGTGGGGAGCAACTGGGACTAGACTGTTACTCGAATTAAGACTTATTCTATGCATCTGCTCTCCCACAATATGGCGCTGGGAGAGGAGGAAACAGCTTCTGCACAGCTGCCTCCAGTTCAACCAATAAACTGTAGGACCTGCTCCTGATTGGAGGAGAGCAGCGTACTCGGCGTGTGGGTAGCAGAGTTGGGATTGGTGGAAGAGGACTATAAAGGAGGAGCGAGACAACATGCACCAGGAACATCTATCTGAAGGAACACCTGTGCAGCCCCCGAGAGAGCCGGCCAGCGGTGTGCCGCTCCCCCGCGGAAGTGGGGAAAGTGGCAGGGGGAACCGCCCTTCCACGGAGGTGGAAGGGACGGTAGCCAACCCAGGAAGAACCAGCAGCAAACCCGGGGAGGGCCGAGCAGACAAAAGAACAGCGCAGGGTCCTGTGTCATTCCTCCACGAAGACGGGGAGCAACAGAACTCCCTTATTACACTAATTCAGGTAGACTGGAATCTCCAGTTCTGGGGGAAAACTGGTTTATTTTGAAATCTCTCTCTTCCTGGAAGTTTGATTACAAAGCATTTAGCTTGAGTGACTCCATTTTGGTTTGTTTTGGTGTGGTCTGTGGGACCTCAATCCAAAACAGTGGCCTCCCTGAATGTTTGTCTGACAGGTGTTTTGAAGAGGATTGAGCAAGGGTCAAGCAAGAGACCAAGAAGTGACCTCTGGATTGGGCAGAGTGGAAGTCGTCAGTGGTTTGAGAAGATCAGTGATGCAGCAGAAGCCACTGTGGAGCAGGGTA